TGCCCTCTGTCTGCTGGGGCCAGAGACTGCTCTGGGGGTGTCCACAGCAGCACAGCCCCTTCTAACTGCTGGATTTGATTGTTTTCCACACYTGAACCATCCTAGCCTCCCAAAAAGTGTCAGCCAGTCCTTTCCAGCTCAGCTCCATCRCTGCCCTCCMTGGATTTCCCTGGAGCAGCCGTGCTCTGGTTCCTTTGYTGCCCCGTGTGTGATGCTCCAGGTGAGCTCTCCTGCTCCTCCCAGCCCWTCCAGGATGCTCCAAACCTTGTCCCAAACTGATTTAAACACTCTGAATTTCCACTTTTTTCCCTCCTACAGAGCCTGCTTGTCCCACATCTCCAAGAGCAGARGCTCCAAGGTGCCCCATTGCAGCATCTCCTCTGTTTGTGAGCTGAGTCACGCAGGTGTCAACATCTCCAAAACTCGTGGGGAGGCTCAGCAGGGCTGGGAGGGTGCAGAGCATTATGGCAGGAGTTATTAATAGCTGCCATCGACCATCTCAGCAGCTTTGATCTGCTGGCAGCTGATTACAGCTGCTGCTCCTGATGATGAAGCACCAGGGGTCCTGTCTCTACCTCAATTTCCCTTCCCAGTTTTCCGATTTTTACTGGAACAAAACAATCTTCACCCCCCACAAAAAAAAAATCTCAAAAAACAGATGGGATTCAGCAGCCAACACTGCAGTCAGAAAGGCAAACACAATCAAGCCAAAGCGTAAATTTTTACTTTRAGAGGAAAATATCAGGGCTTTGAATCCTGCTTCTAGCAAAGTCTTTGAAAGGCTTAAAGGTTGACATCACACCCAGCAAACCTCCAGAGGACACAGCTCCTTTCTGAAATTTTCCATGTAGCCCTTAATCCATATCCATGAAAATAAAGTTAGAATTTGTTCCCTATAAATAATTAAAGGGGTATAACCAAATGGTTCCCACACTCTTCTCCGCTTTCATCCGAGGAAGAAAAGATAATTTGTTGCCTGAAGACAACACAGCATACCTGACATATTCAAGGAAACAATTCAGAAAATCTCCCTTCAACAACCTAGAGCCACTGTTGGGGACTGCTAGGGAAGCAGGATAAAATAGCCACCTATCCCTTTGTGCCAGCATCATTTTATCCTGCTCTGAAGCAAAACAGTGTCTGCTGGGAAGCAAAACAGTGTTCAAAAGATGAAACAGAAACATTCTGAGGCAGACAAATTCAGGGAAATTTCCATTTTATTGGTGTTACCAGCTAACTTCTCTATCAGCTCGCCCAAAACTTTGCAGAATTCCTTTTCTGAGAAACAGAAATGATGTGGATCTGTCCCAGGACAATGATCCACACCACATCGTGCTGTTTGAAGGATTCAAAGATTGCTGGAGCGAGTACTGCCTGAAATAAGTCCCCATCTCCCAAAACAAGGAAAGAGCATTTTTAAAGATGCCAGAAACAAGGGAGTTTTGTGCAGAGTGAGACATTTCACTCTGTCTTGAGCATGAACCCACAGAGCAATTTCTACCAGTTTACTCCAGCTGAGTTATAGCATCTAAACCTGCACAATGATGGAATTAGACATGAAGAAACACTCACATCCTTATGATCATTGTAAAGCCTAATGTAATAAAACTGCCAAGCTTTAAGATCACAGGCATATTCCCAATATTTCAGCATAAAGCCCATTCCACCAGGACTGAGCACAACAGAAGAGAGAAACGATTTGGCCAATGCACGTTAACATTCACCTCACCAAAGCCACRTTTCAAATTTTCAAAAAGAGAACTAAGGAGAATATAAAAATTCCTTTCAGAAATACTTCCACCTTTGTGCAGAATGTTTTCTTTCTCAGAGAAAACCGAGTAAAAAGCATTTAATAGCGATCTGAGCTTTTCAGGCCCAATGCCAAGGAGTGAAGAATTTACAGCAGACAAATACTTTACTTCTTCACCCCTTAAGTCAAGCTGTTCCCAACACAAGTTGCTCTCACTGGGTGCAGGAGAGCTTTGATTGCACATGTGARAGAGAGAATCACTTTGCCAACACCACAAACACCCCACACCTGCCACCCCTTCAGTTCCCCTTCACCCCAGGGAGTGGCTGTCCCTCCAGCCTTGCAGCACACTCATCACACCCAAAGGTGATTATTTTTGGTGTTTGCCAACTTCAGCTACAGAACAATAACTCATGGGTCTTGTCCATCCTGGAATTTCAAAGCACAAACATCACAAACCTCCCGTAAGAGCAGATCCCGTGTAGGAGACCGTACAGAAGACCTTTGACTGTCTCACGATCATCGAGACTGAACACCCCAAAAAGGAGAACCCCGAGGGGAAGAAAGGAGGACTTTTTGCTTAAAGGAGTCCRAGCCTGATCAGGGTGGGATGACTGCCAGATTTCCAGCTCCTAGGCTGGAAGGTACAGCGTGTAAACCATGGATGGCTGCGCTGCTTCTGACGGAAAGAGAGCGGTGTGACCCCATACTGCACACCCCATGGAACAATGGACATTCTTTCCCCACTGCTCAGCCGATTTCTCCATGCTTTGCGAGTTTCCATCAGGTTTCCATGCTTCACAACCCCCCTGGCTTGCTGCCACCCACTTTCAAAAAGACTATAAAAGTCTCTCTGAGAAGACCCTGATTGAGATCTCCCCGACAGACGCTGGCGAACCCATGGAACCTTGTAGGATTCCTCAGAGCCATTGGTAGCTATAACCCCACCCTCTCCCTCTCTCTTTCTGCCTCTCTCTCTCACCCTTTTCTATCGCAAAATATCCAAATAAATTATTCCTGATTATTTAAAATATATATATTTGCCTCCTTGTTCCTTTTGCACTCTGAGATTCTGACAACGAACTCCTCACGACTCCCGCTTGAGTTAAGCGGATCGTGACATCCCGTCACCAGGTAATTCAATTTTGGAGCTCTCAGTAATTCAGTCCCCTGGGGTTTGGAGCAGTTTGTTACCTCCAGCTCGGCGTGGTGGGCGTGCAGTTTCTGCACCAGCTCCTCAGCCTCGCGCATGCGGCGGCTCAGCTGCGGCGAGTGCTCGGCCGGGGTCAGCTCGCTGTCGTACGACTCCAGGATCGCCCGCATCCCGTCGCGCTCCTGCGGGAACAACGGCACAACTGTGAGGGAGAATGGTTCTGACCACGCTCAATGGTGAGAATGTTCAGGGATAAAACCCCTGATCACACTCAACAGTGAAAACGTTCAGGTATAAAAACTCCAACCACACTCAACAGCAAAAATATTAACAAATAAAACCCCCAACTGCACTCAACAGTGAAAACATCCGGGATAACGCCCCTGACCACGCTCAACAGTGAAAACCTTCAGGAATAACGCCCCTGATCACACTCAACAGTGAAAACATTCACGCATAAAACCCCCGACTGCGTTTCCAGAGCCTTCTACGGTTTTGCCCACTTTTTACATGGCAACTCAACTCAACTCAACTCAACAGTGAAAATATTCACAAATAAAACATCTGACCACGTTCAACAGCGAAAACGTCCAGGGATAACACCCCTGACTGCGCTCAACAGTGAGAACATCCAGGGATAAAACCCCCAATCATGCTCAACAGCAAAAACCTCCCGGGATAACGCCCCTGACAGAGCTCAACAGTGAAAATATTCACAGATGAAACATCTGACCACGTTCAACAGCGAAAACGTTCAGGGATAACGCCCCTGACTGTGCTCAACAGTGAAAACGTTCAGGTATAAAACCCCCAACCATGGTCAATAGCGAAAACGTTCAGGGATAACGCTCCTGACCGTGCTCAACAGCGAAAATATTAACAAATAAAACACCTGACCATGTTCAACAGCGAAAACATCCAGGGATAATGCCCCTGATTGCACTCAACAGTGAAAATATTCACAAATAAAACATCTGACCATGTTCAACAGCAAAAACGTTCAGGGATAACGCCCCTGACCACGCTCAACAATGAAAATAATCACGAATAAAACACCTGATCATGCTCAACAGCGAAAATATTAACAAATAAAACATCTGACCACGCTCAACAGCAAAAACATTGAGGGATAATGCCCCTGACCATGCCAAGCAATGAAAATATTCACAAATAAAACCCCTGACGGTGCTCAACAGCAAAAATATTAACGAATAAAACCCCTGACCACACTCAACAGCAAAAACATTGAAGGATAACACCCCTAACTGCGTTCAACAGAGAAAACATTCAGGAATAACACCCCTGACCACACTCAACAGCAAAAATATTCATGAATAAAACCCCTGACCATGCTCAACAGCGAAAACATTCACGCATAAAACCCCCGACTGCGTTTCCAGAGCCTTCTATGGTTTTGTCCACTTTTAACGCGGCAACTCAACTCCGATGGATGTATGCTGATCATCTCCACACCACAGATGAGCACACAGTTGTAATAAAATAAATGTTGCTGCTGTGGAAACTGAAAAATCAGGCTGTCTTGTGTCTATAAAGCCCCACATCCTTTGCGGGAAAGCAACATGCAGACACTCTAACAAGCAGATGGCAACTGAAAACAGAGCCTGCCTTCTTCCTGGAGATGCTCTTCTAATTCAACATGGCTGAATGGRTTTCCTCTGCAAAATATTTAGTGTTGTACTTGACGTTTTTCCTGCCAGAGTCTCAGCAAAGAAAGAACAGAATTGTCACAACAGAAATGAAACAGATTTGACATCGAACAAAGTGGCTGAGAGCAAATATCCTCAAAATGTTATGTGACTTATCACTCGTTAAATGCTGCAGCACTCAGGGCTTGTAGCAAACATTTCTTCAGAGGTTAATGTCTGGCAGGCAGTGTGTTTGGCTCACTTCTCTCTATTTGCTGGCAATTATAACCGAGCATTTGCAGAGAAAGTCACACACGAGGATCCTTCTCCCCTCCCTGAGAGCGCCTTCCCAACTACAAGGTTTGGGTTCAAAGCTAAAACTTTTTGTGTGGGCTCCTGGCTGAAGTATTCCTAATACATTCCAGCTTCAGACAGCACCTAATGCCTCCCTCCAAGGCATTAATGGAGAGGAAGGACGGAGCAAAGGAAAATTTCAGGAATTTTGTGTGTTAAGGAGCTGACTGCTTGCACTGCAATACGCACGAGGGGATTAGCACCTGATGGAGCGTTCCATCTTTTGACTGCATGAAGAACCTTGATGCTTTTGAGGTGACAGMACAGAGTCAGAGCAGCACAGGCCCCTGTGCTCTTTTTTATAAACACAAAGAGCCCAAAATTTGAAGCCTTTCACTGCTGAAGTTTGCTACCCCCCTGCTACAGAAATGCAGGAGCRCTCTGGACAAAGCAGCTCCCTGGTGGGAATTCTGCCACCAAACACTCCAAGTGGCCTCAGATCACTGGGACAGATCACATCCAGCCCAGGCCAGTGCAGCATTTYATAAACCCAGCTCAGCTGCACTGAAATGCTTCCCTGCTCTCTTGGGGAAATCAGGAATTGTTGGGGTAGGAAAGGAGACCCTTTTCACCACACCCCTAAATGCAAAAATTTCAGACAGTGAAGGTGACCTTGAACAGCCCAGCTCTGCCTGGATGCAAAGGTTATCTCCTCCTTCCACATCTAAAGGTCAAAGACAGAACGTGGACAGCGAGTGGCCGTGCAGGAAGGGAAGGAATGTTCAAATTCAAGGTGTGACAGCAAGACTGGGGGCACTGGCAGAGGTACAGCGTGCTCAAAGCATGTCATGGACTGAAAGGTCAGCCAGGATAGCTGGGCTGGTCAAAAGGACCCCAAGACTGAAGGACAGCCTGAGGATACAGGAACTGAGTTGAGAAAATTATAAAGAAAAGCAGGTTTTAACATAAATAATACCAGCAGCTATTACCACTCCTAGCCCAGATTTGACGGAAGAAAAATATTTTTCCAGGGAAACAATTTTGCCATCTTTTAGAATTATTCATATRACAGACACGTGAAAGGAAACACTTGTGTGTTACTGCAAAAGCAAACCCAAATGAACTTGTTTAGCAAGACAGGATCTCTCCATCCTCCTCCTCTCCCCTCCAGTACCCACAGTGCATTCCCAGTCTGCCCAGTGCATTCTCCATAAGGCAAACTGCTTTTGCTCAGGAGATGAACTCCATTCCCCAYGTGCAGCCAAATCACTTTTTAGAGCACAGAGAGAAGATAATGACAGCATTTAGTGAAGGTATTGGTTTGAGCCTTGCATGTTGGTGCAATTAGATTTGCAATTAGAGCATCCTCTCTCCTCCACACTCCGAGCTGCTCCGCTGTCCTAATTTTCTCCTAAACATCTTCCATCCATGGGATAATTTACCACTGCTACGTTACAGCAGGGCAGYCCCAAAATCCTTGGTGTTTTTTTTCAAAAGCAAACAGGACCCCTGGCAACTCCCATCACACTTGGCTTCCAATTAACTGATGAACACAAGGTCGTTTGAGTCAACCCCATCATATCCCAGCAGTTCCTTGAGCTGTGGAGCTTTGAGGAGAACAAATTCCTGCTTTCATGTRAGCACATCCAACCCTACAGGCTGTCCTTCCCCTAAAATCAACCACAGCCCTTGCCCCCTCTCTTTAAAATGAAGAATAAACTTCTCAAGGAAAAATCACACATGGTAAACACAGCAGAAGCTGTATTGGGAAAAAAAAAAAAGTTCTGAAAAGCTGAACTAAAAGGCGGCACAATTAAACACTTGATCTTGGAGTTTACTTATCCTCTTTAATTATTTCTAAATATTAATACTGTTAGTGAAATCAATTCTCAGCTTCCAACAAGTGGTCCCCAGCTTCATTTTTGAAATTTCTCCCCATCAAGAGCACTTABTGAAAGCTTTTCCCTCCCTCCTAAAGATCTTGTTAGTTTGGCAGGAAACAGAAGTTCTTGTTGAGAAGTCCTCTGTTTAAAAMGAGTCTCTAAAATGTAATCCTAATTTGGTAATTGCTGCAGTATTTCCTCATTTTCCATCAAAATCCCCCCCAGGCACTTTCAGATGCCCTTTGTAACCTTTATTGTAATACAGCTGCTTTCCTGCTTCCTATCTGGAGAATATTCATCAGAATTACTGAAAAGCAATTCCCCTGGGAATTTCCAAACCTTACCCAGCACGGGGTGAATCTCTGCTAACTCACCACAGACCAATCCTGACACAATTCCAGCTGCTCTTCACCTTAACCAGTTCTAAATCAACACCCCAACAGAGATGCAGCTCATTCCAAACCCTAAAAAGCAGAATAATAATTTGGATGTTCATTATAAACTTAGGAAATGAATGCCCCGCAGCAAACCCTGGTGCTGCAGCTTGCAGCTGTGTTTGAGGAGATGCTGGTTTGGAAAAGAGGAAGGATAGTGATTTTTTTCAACGGTTGAACAGTTTCCCTTCCTTCTGCCAGCACCATTCATCAAATAAATATTCCTCCTACTATTACATAAGTAACTAAGAAGAAAACACATTTTATCATYTTAACCAGAAACTGGAGCTAATCCCTTGAAAATGTGCTGTGGGAAGGAAGGGGATGGTACCTGTGCAAAATGCCACCCCTAAAATGAAGTTTCTCCCCAGCCCTCCCACCAGCTCTTCTGCTCCCTCTGTGTTTAACCCAAATTTGACCTGGTAGACAAGTGGCTTGAAGCTCAGAGAAAGTCCCTTTTCTGCAGCAAACACATGCCAGAGTGGTTTAGAAACARCAGGAATACAAGTGGGCTCCTCCAGGACTTTTGGGGTAATTTTAGGGAAGCACCACCATAACCATCACCCCCCAGGTCACTGCAGCACAAAAAGGGCATCCCACAAACAGCACACTGAGGAGCATCAGAGCCAGCGATGGGGAGCAACTGAAGAGTAAAATGTAGCCAAAAAAATGTAAAAATGTGTCTGACCTTATATATGTACAGATCAGTCCAGGCCCTTGGGCTGCTGCTGCTCGTTAGCCCCTCTTCAAACACACACACACCCTGCTCACCACAGACTTTCTAATTAGTTGGAGAAAAGAAAAATCAATAAGAAAGAAATTAAAGTTACAAATCTAACTGAAGTCAGTCACACACCACGGGAAAATGTGTTCCTGGGGTAAAGTTTATCTAGTGTCATAATTTTATTGAAATCCTATATCTTCC